GCCCAGAAGCTGAGGAGCTGTAGTATTGTATCCATCAAAGGGCTGAGAAAGAGTCTTGCACAAACCATGAGATTTAGCAGGTCTGGAGAAGCTTTGTTAAATTTACTTTAATTCTCTTGATTTCATCTCCTCTGGGGATGGCTAAATACAGTTTTCCATGCTCTTGTATCATTGGTAATAGTTATCAAGGAAAGACAAAAAAGGATGAAAAATCAAATGTCTCACCTTATCTAAATTTGCCATAAAACACTAAACAAATTAATTTAAAATTATAAATAAATAAGGATAATTCAACTTCCTTGAAAACCATCATCCCATTCTTCAGACAGTCTGTCAGCATCAGCTGGTCTCTAGATAACAGAGCCTGGAAGCTTCTAAGTCATCTAAATGCAGAATTTATTCCACTGGCTTCCCCATGCATGCACATGTACACATATGTTTAATACATGTATTAAATTTCAAATATATTGCTTTTAACTAATCACCTCAAGTGGCATTTGTGCAATCTAGATATTTTCTTTGTTCCTTCAACACTCTTTCAATTACACTGAAAATTTCAGAGAAATAAAATTATAGCATGCCGAATATTAAAAGGTAGGGAGGGAAAAGAGCAAGAAACTAAGCTTCAAAGGGAATTCTACACTTTGATTTCAGTTTGCATCTTCCAAATGTTCACATTTTGCTACACAGATGTCAAAACAGGGCGTAGGTAACAAAGCAGGTTCCTTTAAGATTTAAAAAAAATACATTTTAAATGATCAAATTAAACCATATTCCAAGCATGGCAGAAGCAAATGACGTATTATTAGATCTTCCCTAAACCTCATTGAACCACCTCTTTCCATCATAGCAAGGGCCTGTCAACCATGCAAGCCCTTGCCAAAAATAAAGAAAGAATGGCAGCATTTCCCGTCTGCTGATGAGTCCTTTCTAAGGGAGGACAAAACACTGATTTTATTTAACTCTGTTCCAGTTATTGACTGGCCATATAAACAGTCATCATGACACACAGCCAGGTTTATCCATGTGCCCAGCAAGCCAGACCAGGCATAATAAAGAGATTACACACTGTTTGGAATACGGGCAACTTGGAATAGCTTTTATTGAAGCTTAAGCATGGGAAATATTGGGTAGTAGATTTAGGTATCACACAATCAGAAATATGTTTGGCTCAAAAACACAACACATGGCACCCTCAGTGAATGAGGGTGAGTATTATTACAGCACAACAGACCTGCCTTTCTCTCCCTGCCAAAAGGAAAGCTTGGAATAGCACAGAGCACATGGCATTTTAAACTTAGGGGAGAGACACTGACAAGAGTAGGAAGGAAAAAAAAGTATTAAAAAGAGTTCTGTAAAATATCTGTGTCCTCAAAAGACAGCTCCTCATTAACCACCCCCAGTCCCTGTACTAGAGACCTTGGAAGGGAAAAGACTCCTAACATGAAGAAATGGGACAGAAGGGACAACAGTAGGGCTCTGCTCAATTTCTGGGTTTCTCCTGCTCTCACTGGCATTAACATCTGTACCTGGGGAGCCCACTCAGGGCAAAGAGGTTGTGGATGTGCTGAGGGCACATGCAACCCCACCAATCAGTTCTGCTTCCTCCTTTCCCTCTGCTACTCCATTTGTGCCCAGCTGTTGGATTTTTGTTGGTAAATACTTTGGACTGGACTATCAACCTACCCTGAGGTTGCACAGGTGACACACGATGTGGTCCTGATTCACAGTTACGATTCCAAGGCACAACCTGCATAACAACTAAGGAAACAACTCACATTTGCTATCTCAGGCTTTCGCTTTTCAATGCTCAGCCATCTCAGATGGTTACAATTTACACTAATTTGACCATTTTCTTGCATAGAAGTGTTCCTGCTTGTTTAGAAAATACTTTCAAGTGCACCTAAGATGCTACAGCTCCTGTGTCAGAAAATGTCAGTTAAAGAAAAGTCCTGCAAAATAAAGGGTTTGGGTTTTTCTGACCAAGGTCAGCAAGAGCTCAGACCTTTATTTGACATGATGGTAATGTGCCATGGATGCAGTAACCAACACAGGTAGGAGGCTCTTGACCACTAAAGGAAAAAAAACGGATTTCTGCCTGATGTAATGCTGACTGAATTTACTTTACAGGAACCTCATGCGGCACAGGAGGAAGAGGTGCCTAGAAATCAGGGGTCAACCAAATGGACAAAAAAGGCTGATATACAGACAACTACTGTTCCCATTGCACAGAACATTCCTAACTTTTATTGCTTGTACTTTCCTCAGTAACATGTCAGTCTGTTCATTCTTTTTATTTACAACCCTCTGCCCTGTGTCTGTGTATCAAGGTATGCAACAACAACCTTCTTACAGTCAGCAGCTGAACTGCAACTTTATTCTGAATAAATCCATAACAAGATAAGTGAAGTGTCTACACAGAGTCAATCTAGGCAATAAGTATTCCATAAGGCAACAGGATCAGACTTTAAGAAAGGTGCAGCTAGAGCACAACAAAGGTCAGTGAGAGCCACACAGTGATTAAGTTTCCTTAACCCAGTCAGAAGGTGTTCAGCTTGAACTATGGACTATGACCCCTCAAGGAATCTGACACCTTTTTCTCTCTGATGGTTTAAGGAAGAACAGTGTTTTCGTAGGTTAAGCTGACAGGCAGGATGAGGCTTACAGCAAGGCTTGGAGCTTGTGACTATCCTTTCTCCTAACACACATGCCTGCAGATCCATCAAGATGGCAAGTGATAGCAACATGCCTCTGTCATAGGTTTACTTGTTCTAAAAAACCAAGTGGGAATTTTTTTTCTTTCTCCTGCATCATTGTGTGTAATGGTTTGGTCTAGGCCTCTTCCTGGCAACCAGGTCGAAACTAAGGAAGTACCATATCCCAGTATTCCATTCTATTTCTTTATGTAAGCAGAAGTATTAATACAAGGGGAGATGTAGGTTGAGCCCTTCTTCTCTTCCGGTGTACTTGGAGAGGGCTCTGTGGTGCAATGGACAGCACTTTGGACTTCTGGTTGCCGTGGACTACTCTCGAAAGGCTACGGCTGAGGCAGAAACTCAAACTGAAACACTGTGAAAGAGGGATGTTGAACAAGGGAGGGAGAGGGTGGTTCTTTTGGCTGGGTGATAGACAGGCACAAAAGAACTGACTAGCAGGCCTGCATTCCAGACTGATGGCTGTCAGAAGACTGGGAGGGTGGAGGTGAGGGGTTTTTTTCCTCTCCTCGGAAACGGCAGTCACTTCACTTTTGCCCTGACTCAGGGAAGCGGGGTGTGTGGAGAGATTTTTTCCGTGGTTCGTTTTGGTTTTGGTCAGGTCATCTGGCTGCTTCTGGACCCGGTTCACCTCCATTCCCCTGCGCCCTGTTCTGCCCCCAGCCTGGACTAGCTCAGATTTCATCAGAGAGGCTTGGCCCTTCTGGGAAGGAACCTTTGGAGGAGTCCCTGCCACAGGCAGCCGCTGACAGTGTGAGTCTGTGGGAAAGAGTTTGGGGTGGTTTTTTCCCCCTTCTCCCCTTCCCTTCTCGGTGGGGGGGAAATCTCCATCGCACACCGGGGCCCACAGCGCCCCTGCTGGCCAACACCGAGCACTGCATTGATCCCACAGCGCCCCTGCTGGCCAACACCGAGCACTGCATTGATCCCACAGCGCCCCTGCTGGCCAACACCGAGCACTGCGGTGATCCCACAGCGCCCCCTGCTGGCCAACACCGAGCACTGCATTGATCCCACAGCGCCCCTGCTGGCCAACACCGAGCACTGCATTGATCCCACAGCGCCCCCCGCTGGCCAACACTGAGCACTGCATTGATCCCACAGCGCCCCCTGCTGGCCAACACCGAGCACTGCAGTGATCCCACAGCGCCCCCTGCTGGCCAACACCGAGCACTGCATTGATCCCACAGCGCCCCTGCTGGCCAACACCGAGCACTGCAGTGATCCCACAGCGCCCCCCGCTGGCCAACACCGAGCACTGCGGTGATCCCACAACGCCCCCTGCTGGTCGCGGTTGGAATTGCACCAAAAGATGGAAAGTACCGAACTGGGCTCTTTTGTGGGGAACTTCAGGTGTGGAATTATTGTTTAGTTGGTTTTGTGTTCTTTTGCTCTTCTGCCAATACACATATATCTTTTAATAAAGGGTTGTTATCTTTTTTTCTTTCTCCATACTTGCTCAATTGGAGCCTCTTAATTTCAGATTTACAGTTGCTTGGAGGGAGGAGCTTGGTCTTCCTCATAACTCATCCTCCTTAGCAAAACCCTTCAGTCTCATTAAACTGAGACAGCCTCTGACACGAGGAGCACAGCACCAGCTCTTTGCTGTTCTTCTCAGCCTGCTCCCACAGTCAGGATGTGAGATGAGTCTGAGCTGTGCAATATCTGTTTGTTGCAGTAACTGAGGCATTATAATGATTTCAAAAATTAAACTCTGTTTAAGCCAGAATAGAAAGGAAGTTACAGTAGATATTATAAATAGAAAAGGAATTGAAAGTTTGAATCTTTTTTAGATGTAGTTTAAGGCTCTGTTGATAAGTCCAGCCAGTTTGCTGCCCAGGACACTTATGCTCCACTTGGCCAGCTCAGATCATACATTGTCCACAGGCCCAGTTTCTTGAAGGTATGCCCAAAATCATAAAATACAAGACCTTAAGCATGGCACCAGCTATGCAGACAGTCTTTCACCTGCTCAATTCACCTCCTTTTTCTCAAATCCTCTTCTCTAACTAGGAAGATGGAGTAGAACCTCATCTCCTGACTCTTTGAACTTTGTTCCAAGGGAGGTCGCCCTTGATATTTCTGAGTCATCTCTTTGCAGTGTCATTCAACCCTATCTGGAATAGCAGGAACAGGTGACAGTCTGCAGGCTTGACCAGCCTCGGCAGCCTCTCAGTGACATCACAGATATAAGCTCCCAGCAGGCAGACTTCTCCAGAGACACTGTTTGGATGACAAACGGGGCCTCTCATCAGGAAGTCTCCAATCACTAACCCCCTAAGCACCAGTTCCAATGGGGTAGATGGCTGGATCAACTTTGCACGGTTGGCCTTTTCTGGGACTTGCCTGTTGCTCACTCCCTCCTCATTCTCCAGTCCCAGGGCATTGTATCTCTTTCCTAAGGGCACTGCAAGGGGGAAGAGGAAAGTCCCTCCTCCTGCCCCAAGCACAGGTGAGAATCTGGTCTCCTTTGTCTTCTGAGTTAGTCAAGTCAATCAGTTCAGGGCTGGAAGCAAACGTACCTTCCTCTTGCCTTAAGGTAAGACCTCTTGCTCAGCTTGTGCCAAGCACACAACACCACACATCCACCTCTCGTGCAGATCCCCAGACACTGTGCTGCCTATTACACTCCTCTTACAACATGGCTACTTGCTTGAGGAATCCATCCAGCTGGGCACACTTGCACCCATGACACCCATGTCTGCCTTCAGACTCTATAGGGACTTCCAGGTTCTGGAATCACATGGAAGTTTGGATCTGAGAAGCTCTTTCAGTTCTTGGGAGGCCAGTCAGGGTATAGCTGTTGTACACCATGATCCTCAGCTGCAGAACACATCAGCACAGAGCTGAACACCTCTAGGAGTGTCACTGTGTAATTCCATTCAAAAATGCTATCCAAGGTGGAATTGTGCAACATCAAGTGTTTTATTTTATCAGGTACCACATTTGACCACAGTCCTAGGTCTGTGAGATCTTTGGGGTTTGGCTTTTGTGTCCTTCAAAAAAATAATATACACCATAACACCAGCTGCAGCCAGGAGACACCAGAACTCAGAGTGCCCTGGACCCTAGCTCTGACCATTTCTGTTTAGGCTGGAGGGTATTTACACTTCTCAAATATGCACTGGAACCAAGCTGTGAAACATCCTGAAAAATCTGGTAGGCTTAAGAGCTCTAAACTTGCAGAATGAATTTCACCCTAATTTCTCATTCCTAGGAATTATCTTTCCAAGCAGCAAAGTAATGACTGACTCTGATTACAATTCAATCGAATAAAAGCCCTGCAGAATACTCACACATACTTGGAACAGAAAAGGGAAATGCAGTTATCTGAAATTCTCCATTCATTTAGAGCACAATGCTGCTTAAACCTGGGCATAAATGTCTCTAGCCAGTGCTCACAAGATGGTGTTGTAATTGATGCCAAAAATTCAGCAGCTTTATCATATGCATTTTTTTTCCTACTGACAAAGTATTCCACAGAGCTGTATTTCAATTCTGATTTCATGTCACTTCAACTTCTGATCAGAGCTTAAACATAAAAAAATTATAGCCCTCCTCAATGGACCAACAAAAAAAGAATCCTTTCTTTTTACATATCCACATTTATTAGTCTCAGTCATTTCAGAAATATAATCATTATGGTCCCTTTTACTGAGAACAGCTCCCCACACACACACATCCTGGGGACTCCTCTGTACAGATGCTCTTTTTCCTTTTACTTCTGAGGGCGCCATGTTGTTCAACAGCAAAATCTGCCATCATGCAGAACCAAGAGAGAAAGTAATTTTAAAAGGCTGGTTTAGTTTCTTTTCCTATTCCCCAATACCCTGGGGTTTTTTTATACTAGTATTATTTTCTTCCCTCCTCCCTTATTGAAATAAACATTGACTAAAAAGTCAAAGGCAGGGAAGGTTTCAAGTCAGAAGGAATGATTGCATTTACCATCCTGAACTCTGCATATCCCAGACCTTTTGGTTTCAGGTGGGGCTGGCATTTAACCAGAGCACAGCTCACAGCTGGCTCAGCACATATTCCAGAAGCATACAAGGCCCTGGCTGAAAACCATCAATACTTACAAGTTTTCAGAATCACTGATCATATCTGTTTGTTCTATACTCTTTCAGAACCTTCCCAAAGAAATTGATCTATCCTTCCTACTGAAAACTCAAGACAGATAGGATGTTTTTCAAAAAGACTTTTAGAGATCCCATCAATATTGGAATAAAACCAGAAAAAAGACAAGGCAGCTTTATTGATTTACATATTAAAATAACATATGCTTTTTGTGCATGTGCAGTCTCCCATGAGTGATAATTGGACTTCTAAAGAGAATCTAATGTTGAACCTATAGGTATTATCCATCAGTTCTCCTCCTCCTTTCATAACAGCCACAAAAGATTAGAGATAACATGCCTAATTAGTGTAGAATGACGTAAAAATCACTCTCTGGACTGAAACGTGGTGCAAACAATAAATGAGCTCCCATGAGGGCAGTGAAGATGAGGAAAGGCCCTGAGGGGAAGCCGTGTGACGACGCTGAGGGCACTTGGTGTGTTCAGCTGGAGGAGACCGAGGGGAGACTTCACTGCAGATCCAGATTCCTGGGGAGGGGCAGAGGAGGGGTAGGGACTGAGCTCTGCTCTGGGGGGACCGGGGACAGCAGCCAGGGAATGGCTGGAGCTGTGTCAGGGCAGGCTCAGGTTGGATCTCAGCCAAAGGTTCTTCCCCCAGAGGCTGGTTGGGCACTGCCCAGGCTCCCCAGGGCAGTGGGCACAGCCCCAAGGCTGCCAGAGCTCCAGGAGGGTTTGGCTGATCCTCTGGGGCACAGGGGGTGACTCTTGGGGCTGGGCCTGTGAAGGGCTGAGGGTTGGACCCAATGTGGGTCCCTCCCAACTCGGCATATTCTGTGACTCTGTGATGAGTTTGTGCAGGGGGGCAGGCAGCCGCACCCGAACAGGATGAAAGCATTGCTACCAGTTCATGGGGAGACTACACTTCACATACCACAGGTCCCATCCAACTTCAATTTACACTGCCTGTATTTAGTAGGAGATGCAGTACAACTACTCCAACACATAGCAGACTACTCGGATATGTAAATACTAATAACAAATTCCGGCAGCAATCTTATCAGTCTCCTGTCACTGCTCTGCCAAATAGCCTCCTGCAACTACCTCCCATGCTGCTGCCTGGTGGTCACACGTGTCTGGGCTGCTCCTGTCTCTGCTCTCAGCAGGGTTTGTATGGGCTCATGTCTCAGCCCCAGCAGAGCAGCATTTTGTTTCTTCTACAGCCCTTGCATTGTGGGCACACAGCAGACGCTTCCAGTAACCCACATGAGCCATTTCAAGCCCAGGAAGGCTGCTGCCCCAGTAGCTGAGTGCAGTGTTCTGTAGTGTCTCTGCAACAAACAGGATTACAACGAAATTGCATTTGCTTTTCCTTGCAGGTTTATGAACAGGCCTGTGACCACAACTTAATTTAAAACATCCACAAACTAAAGCCCCTTGCCCGGTGACTCCTACTGTTCCCTTGAGAGCTGTGGCCTAAGGAAACAAATACACTGACAAACTCCCCCTCCTCACTGCCCCAGTGCCACTCTTAAATCAGTGAAGTGCTGCCACTGGCTTAAACGGTGACAGACTCAGTGCCAAAGAAGGAATTTCTCTCGAAACCATACTGTTTAAGGATGGCTGGCACGATGCAACGTAAGCTGACAAAAAGAAACAGACATTTTGTTTCATTTATGTATGTATATATACAGTTCTCACACAGATCCTGAAAATGAGTACCCTCCTCCCAGATCAGTTTAAGTTAGATGTTAGATTCTAATTTACAGAGATCATCTCTGTTCAGGACAGTATTTGAACTCGTAGCTCTACACTTCAGCAAAAGTCCCTGATGACTTTGAAAATAAAAAAAAATCAAATCAAATTTAAAGTTCATCTTTAGCCAGCAAGAATAAAATGCTGAAGCCTCCTCTCCAAAAAAGCAAAGGAAGGAAACATGAACAAAGAATGAAAATGAGTCAGTATCATCCATCTGGACTTTTCATTTTCCTATGAAGGTCACCAGAGAGCACAATGCTTCCTGCAGACCAGGAACAGAGAACTGGTCTCTGCAGGCTCTGCAGTCCCCAGGAACGTCTCTCATCAACTTCAGCCTCACCAGAGCAGGAGCAGTGCTGTGACACACAAATTCACTCACTGCTAAACTGTGCCAACAAATTGCTCATTTCTGACAGATGTTTCTGTTTAAAGCCACAAGGAACTGTATGGATCATTCCACCTCAGCAGTCTCAAAAGCCACCCCAGCAACTCCAAGAGTGAGAAATTTATAAGGAACAAATGAAAAACCTAATTAGATCAACAGACAAAATTTGGATCAAGATTAGAGGATCTGACATGACAATGGGATTAGACTATTTACAAGACATAACAAGGTTTGGTTATTTATCACTTCACAACCAGTTTCACAGTACAAGGGGGAAGCAGTGGCAAATCAGCATGACAAATGCAGATATGAGAATATTCTTGTTTCAGTTTAGTGTGTGCTCCCTATTGAAGTCAAGCTCTATGAAACCACAGTCAAGAAAAAATACTGCAATCGCAGAAGGAAGTAAGAACTGGAGGCATAGCAATGGAAATAAAAATAAGAAAAGCCTTACAGCCAGATACAGGTAGTTGCATGTGTACAAAAAGGTTAAAAGTAAATGAGTAATTGCAAACAACACAGTTGGAGCTATCCACATTGAAAAGTTAATGCAAACAAACACTTGGAAAGACTTTGCAATGACATTGTCCTTTTTGTCTTCTACACCTCTATTCCAACCAAGTTCCAACATACTTAGAAATGTAATACTGTATGTTCCAACATACTTAGAAAATGAGGCTGAAAACCAAAAAGCCCCCTTGTCGCTTGCCTCCCTTGAGAGGTTGCCTGTGGGACTGAACAGGGTGTAAGAGTGGTGGCCAAGTCAAAGGAATCTCAAGCTTATGTCAAACTAGAAGACAGCAGTGAAAGCAGAGCTCAACAACGCACACCATGGTTGCATGAACTAAGTTCCCAGCCTTCACCAAGGGATGCTTTGCTCCGACTACTGACAAGTCACAAAAGGTGTAGGTGGTATTTAGGCCAACAAGAAACTGAGCCTGGCCCTCAGCAGTTCTGCTGTCCTATTTCTGATCAGATACTCCATACACCTTCACCTTCTCCTCCCACATCTGAGAAACCAGGCTTGGAAACACTGAGCAATGCTCCTCCAGTGCTTTCCTGCTTACTGCCTCTTGTATCACAAACAGAGCCACCTGAGCCTGCCTGAAGGAAGCTCGTTTTCCCCAAACATTCTGTCCCTGCTCATCTGGGGAGCAGACACAGACAGTGCACTGCAGGCTTCACACAAGCAATGCAATCTGGTCCCATTCCAGATTATTAAAGCCTAAGGCTTATTTCTACTCCTGGCATCAGCCATGATGACCTGGTCACATACAACAACATGGTTTTAAAGAAAGGAAATTAAGTGAGAGCGCTACAGAAGAACTGTACAGGTGGAGCTATACCTCTGCAGCACCAACAGGGAAGAAAAAGCAAAAAAACACCTCACCTGTGGCTTCTCAGTGTGCCTACTAGGTGTCTTTTGCTTTCTATTTTAATTGCAAACTGAAGTTCAGAGCACCTTTTTGATCTAAATTCAGACAGTACCTAGTACAGTACAAGTCTCAGGTCACGTCCAGAGGGTCTACTTACCCACAGTCAGTCAGAATTCACCAGCAGCACAAGGTACCATTTCCACGCTGCACCACCAACCCCAGCAGCGAAGCAATGCTTTCCAAAGCCTGTACAAGCCACCCTGGACAAGACAGAATCACAGCATACTTGTCATTTTATGACTCGAGAAGCTTAAGAGATTACAAGGGTATTTACAGTTTATCACTAACCAAACTGCAACACCAAGCAAAGCAATTAAGTAATGATATCATATAAAATATAAACATTTCTGGGACCTTGTACTACATGGAAGTGCCTGTAATAGGAAGAAAATACATTCACAGCAGAAGGAACTGCAATGTTAACCATCAGGATTTAAAAGCTTCTTTCAGGGCGATACAACACCAGCTGATGTCAGCCAATGAGGGGGTTGCTCCATCCCAAGGTGTAGCTGTCTAACAGGGTGGCCATTTACATTTTAGCAGAGCAGCCAGGAATGGAAGGTTTGGGCTGGAGCTAATACAAGTGGAACAGCAATGAAAGAGAGACAAAAGGTGGGGGTTTCCCCTCAAACTTCATCACACTCTAAACTTTATTTGTAACTAGTAGTGTATCTAAAGGAACTTATGTTAACATCCCGTGTCAGTGTTGATCAGTGCTGACAGCATTAAAAGGACAGGTTGCAAAAGCAATAAGAACACTTCCATACATGTTTCAAAAATAATTGCTCTTAGTCAAATTAAGTATGGTTTTTTGATACAATTAGCTTTTTACCTGGAGCTCTAGTGGTCCTGATATGACAGGAATCTAGATATACGTCAGTTATGGTTTAAGTCCTGCATTTAAGAAATAGATTAAAAAAAAATCCTTCTCTCAAGCTCATCTTCTCATAAATCTTATTAATAAGAGATATTCTGAGATAATACCAACAAGGCACCAGCATCTCTCCTTTCCTCCTTGACTTTTGATATAGTAAATCATCATGTCTAGCACCTATAAATACCATTGCAATGTTTCTGTTGCTCTTCACTAAATATTGCCTTTTCTTTTTTTTTTCTTTTTTTTTTCTAGAAGTAAGTACACACATAAATGAAATGGACAGAAGATGGAAACTATGAGAGAGGAGCAGTGTTTAAACAATAAGACTTATTTTAAAAATACATGCTCTCCAAGCCCATGGCAACAGCAACATTTCAACGGTACAACAGAAAAAATGAGGGGTTCTGTGAGGAGCCTGGTGGAAAACCAGAGTTTCCTGTGGGGTAAGGACCACTTTTCCTTGTCAGTGGATTAGCATGAGGCTTTTTTTCTTCCTGCCCAGTTGTAGGAACCTGATCGTTTTAAGCCCTTTCCTGCCCCGTTACATTTGGTGGAAACTGTCCCATGTGGGTCAAAATTGCCAGTAGGCAGGAAGAGCAGACAGACAGCTGGCATTGGCACAGCATCCTCATCTCCTCAGGAGAGTCAACAAAAAACCCTACCCCCGGGACTGAGCCAAGGATGGCCAGGATGGCATTTTTCAGACACGTGGGCCA